CATGATAATCTAATTTGATGGAAGAGCAAAGCAGCAAGAATCAAAGGACTAAGAAAAGTCTGAAAAAAATGGCAGGACTTTTCATACCAGATATCCAAACACATTACTAAGCAATACTAATTAAAATAGTGTGGCATTGCCCAGAAATAGACAAGTGGAATAGTGGGGTCAAAAATAGAACTCAGAAACACATTCATATTAACAAGAGAACTTGATATATGATAGGGATGTTATTACAAATAGGTAGGGGGCAGATGGATTCTTCAACAAATTTGTTGATTTTTATCAACAAATAATGTTTATAAAATTAACTTGCAAGGAGATATGATTACATCAAAATTTAAAACTACCGGTTGGGCATGGTAACTCATGCTTGTAATCCCAGTACTTTGGGAAGCTGAGGCAGAATCAATTGAGGCCCAGGCTAGAGTTTGAGACTAGCCTGGGCAACATAGAAAGACTATCCCTACAATTTTTTATTTATTTATTTATTTATTTTATTTTATTTATTTTTTTTTTTTGAGACGGAGTTTCGCCCTTGTTTCCCAGGCTGGAGTGCAATGGCGCGATCTCGGCTCACCGCAACCTCCGCCTCCTGGGCTCAGGCAATTCTCCTGCCTCAGCCTCCTGAGTAGCTGGGATTACAGGCACATGCCACCATGCCCAGCTAATTTTTTGCACTTTTAGTAGAGACGGGGTTTCACCATGTTGACCAGGATGGTCTCGATCTCTCGACCTCGTGATCGACCCGCCTCGGCCTCCCAAAGTGCTGGGATTACAGGCGTGAGCCACCGCGCCCGGCCAATTTTTTTTTTAATTAGCAGGGCATGATGTCACATGCCTGTAGTCCAGCTACTCGGAAGACTGAGATGAAAGGATTCCTTGAGCCTGGAAGTTGGAGGTTTTAGTGAGCTGTGATCACACCACTGCACTCTAGCCTGGGTCACAAAGCCAGACCCTGTCACAAAAGAAAAAAAAAAAAAAAAAAAAAAAAAAAAAAAAAACTACTGTACATCAAAAGACATAAAAGTCCCTCTCTGGGCCATCTTTATAACTTGTACATACTTCTTTTTGTGGACTACATTATCATAACATAGCTGTATGTCTGTGATCTCAGCATGAGCTCTTTGAGGACAGAGTTTCTGTCTGAATCCTCAGGGTTCTATTGCACCATCCACTCAATGAATGAACGCTGACACTGATCGGATTGAAAGTGTCTTAAAAATCCCCAAGTTCTTCTGTCCCATGGGATGTATGTAGGACTTGGTACTTTAAAAATTAAGGTTTAGCATAAAATGGTCTCTCCATAGAAAGTATTATAATTTCAAAGAGTACTAGGTTTTACAATTATTTGTCTTTCTTAATCCAGTGTTTGTCACGTAAGAAATAGGGAAATAAGGATGATATGTTTCCCCCTATGAAAATGGTGGGATTTTGAATGTACAAATATGTAGGTTAAACAAATCCTCTTATAGTTCTTTCCTGAATTATGGAGAAGACAACCAATCTCCCAAATCATATTATTGTGGGGTTTTTTGTTTGTTTGTTTTTTGTTTTTGAGACAAGAGTCTTGTTCTGCCACCAGGCTGGGATGCAGTGGTGTGATCTTGGCTCACTGCAACCTCTGCCTCCCAGGTCCAAGCGATTCCCCTGCCTGAGCCTCCTGAGTAGCTGGGACTACAGGCATACACCACCATGCCTGAATTTTAGTATTTTAGTCGAGGTGGGGTTTCACCATGTCAGCCAGGATGGGCTCAATCTCTTGACCTCGTGATCCAGCCACCTGGGCCTTCCAACGTGCTGGGATTACAGGAGTGAGCCACCATGCCCGGCCCCTAATTGTATTGTTTTACAGAAAAACCTAAATGATCTGTGGTCATAGCAGCGGACTTAAGAAGAGAACCCAGATTACCTGATGGGCTAGTTTATTGCTCCACCTACAACTAGTGAACAGTGATAGCTACCAAGCTGCCTTGGGTTTTTCAGGGGTTCCATTCTTGGAGAGACAAAGAAGAGGCCAAGCCAGAGACAGAATTGGCCAAGCCGATTTTTTGTCCAACACCATCATCTGAGTCACACAGTAACAATTACACTAGTTGACTTCCTTGGCTAAGGGAAATGCCACTTATCTGTTTCATTTTGCAATCTCTGCCTCCATCTTTATATTTTTCATGTTGTATTACAACCATTCATCCATTCAAAAAAGCAGTCACTGAGCACATATGATAAGCCAAACACAGTGTTAGCCCCTGACAATATGACAGTGAACAAAGACCCTGACCTCAGGGAGTGCACATCCTAGCAAGGAGGACCCACATTAAGCAAGTATCATCTTTAGAAGTACTTGTTTAATTAGAGTTGTGACCAGTGCCTTCAAGGAAAAGTGCAGTTGGTAATGAGTCCATATAGATGAGGATCTTAACTAGGATAAGAGGTCAGGGAAGGTTTCTTGGAGGATGGGAGCTGAAGAGTGAGTCAATGTTATTGCAGCAGAGAGAGGAGTAGGCCTAGAGTGTTTGAGACAGAAGACTCTGAGTTGGAGTTGGGGGGGGGTACATTTGAGGACTTAGAAAAAAACCAGTTCGACTGTAACAGTGAATATAAAAAGGAGAGTGGAGCAGGATGGGCTGGAGATGAAATCAGAGGCTGAGGTGTGAATTGACATGCTTGGTAGATCAAAAAAATACTAGAAGGGAGGGAAATCCTGAATGTAGTGAAGGATATTAAGTGGAAATGTGTCATAATCAGAGGTGCATTTTTGTAAGCTCACTTCCATAGCTTTAAGGAAAACAGTTTTCATGGGCAAAGCCCATTCCAGGAAGCCATGTGAATACTGATGTTAGTGACAAAATACTCTAAGAGTAGAATTAACAAGACTTGGTAATTCATTGCACATAAGAAGTGGTAATTAGGAGGAGTCAAGGGTATATCCAAGGTATGTCGTTTGAGCAACTAGATGGGTGTTGAAAGTAACTGCTGGAGAAAGAGAAGGTTTGGGGGGTAAACAGAAGCATGAGTTTACTTTTAATGCATTCAAGCTGAGGTGTTTGAAGGCTTCTAGATGAAGATGTCATGTGAATAGTTCAGAGGAGAAGTTTGCTCGAGATAGAATTTGAAAGTCACTGGAGTATAGGTGGCAGCTGAAGTCATGAGAGTAGATGGGATTGCCTTGCTGGCTGAATGAGGTAAAAGAGAAACTAGGAGCATGTGACACCATGGGAATCAAGGGGAAAGAGTATTTCAAAAGACAGAATAGTCAACTTTATAGAATGATGCTGAGAGGTGGCATGATACGAGGACTACAAGAGTACATTTGATTAAGTGGTATGAAAATAACTGGTGACTTTAGCAAGAGTTGATTCCATGGAGTGGCTGAAACAGAAGCTGAATTTGAGAGTTTATGGAGGGAATAGCGGCCGGCTAAAGATAGAAAAAGAAACTGTAGGCATCTCAGCCCAGAGAGTTGAGAACAGTGGGAGAGACGCTAGTAGCTAGAGAATCATGTGGTTTGCAAAGGGTCCTTTGTGGGGCAGAAGGAGATGTTTGGCTGGTTTGTTGAGACATTTGTAGTAATGAGACAAAGTGGAGCATGCGTAAGTGCTAATAGGAAGTAGAAAGAAAGAAATTGAAATAAAATCAGAAAGAGAGGAAATAATTAATATTCTTGAGAAAAACCTGAGGAGCTAGAGTGCAGAGCACATGCAAAATGGTTGGCCTTTGTTAGAAGACAAAAAGCTTTTGACTATGTGAAGTCTCCATCTAATAGTTTCCATTTTTCCAGTGAAATGGAAAAAGGCTGAGAATAAGAGAGCTGGAGATGTGAGAGGAATAGGATGGGTTTAAGAGAGATTTTGTTGAAACTAGGAGACCGGTCAGTTTTGAGATTCTAGTTGAGGTCACTGACCATTAATCTGCAGAAATACAAATCTGCTCCATTCTGTTTTTCTTCAGTTTTTCTTAGCAGCCTGGGTGTAGACATAGAGAAGATAGATGGGTTGATCGGGGTGGAAATTGCTGGACAATTTGCAAGAGTTGAATTGAAGTAATGGATCTTAGGATCTATCAGTAATACAAAGAAAACAGAAGGTAGAAAAAGCTGTTAGATGAATGGATAGGCAAATGAATGGGAGATAGAAGGGCAAGTCAACTAGAAGCGCCTAGTGAAAGAAGAGTTGTAATGGCATATGTGTAGCAAGTGAAAAAGGAAGACTGTGAATGAGATACTAGGTGTTTTTTGCACTGTTTGGTTGCTGGAGTAGTTTCAAGTATGGACAGTGGTCACAGAAGGACAATAGATGGATGAGCTGAGTGGCTAATTCACTGGAGTGGTGAATAGTTTATTCAAGTAAATAGTAAAGTCACCTAAGTAGACAGTGAGTGGGCAGTCCAGCAACACCCCATCAGCGAAGGAGGAGGTGTGGCTTGGAGGCCCGGTGAAGGCTGCCGCAGGAATGGAGCACGAGCTTCAAAATGCAGAGCTTTAACCAGAGGGTGAAGGCGTAGTGCCCTCAAAGTGGCAACACGGGGACACTGACCCCACTCTCAAGCGTGGAGCTACCTGGAATGTAACGTGGTCCCTATTTGAGAGGCCAACAGATGAAGCCTTGTTCTCAGAGAACTGGCTGGACTCAGTTAACACAAAAAGATGGAAGGGCTCTCCCGCCGAGAGTTTGGGAATCTAAAGGCAGGAAGTCGTTTATCACAGAATGGCTGTTCCTCTGTGCATGGTATGTGGGTTTGTCAAATGCAACACACTTGGGTCATAGTGACTTGGGTCATAGTCTCTCTGAGGTGGAGAAAATTTTTTTATATTTCTACTCCCAGAACCCAGAATACGGTGAGCCACCTGGACATACTAAACAAGTGTTTAACTCTTACTGAAAATGTGATTGCTCATTCTTTTGCTGATTCTGCATTCTACTGTGACATTCTGAATACCAGTCATCATTATGCAAAAATGTAGGTGCAGATCCAAAAGCCTGTAAGAGATTCATTTGTACCTGTATTTTCATCCGTACACATCTGCTGATTAGATCTCTCTTAGGAGCTTGTCTTGGTATCATTTGCTTCTTTTTTTTTCCTACAAGTGAAGCAATAGGATATGCTCTGGTTAATACAGTGTTTTGGTTACTCAGGTTGCAGTTAACTCAAGTGTGTTACACATGGAGCTGCATTCTCACAACGCTAGGGAGGATTATGACATTTGAGCTGGATGCCGTCTGCCAGCTGAGGGATGGGGGAAAGAATAGTCACAAAATCACATGTAAACTTTTAAAAACCACCTTAACATTATACAGAAAAAAAATGCCGTATGTCCAGTTAATTCACTGTCATTCTGTAAAATATTTGCAGTTCTTTTTTCATTTTTCCTAGTAAATTTGAGCTCTATGAGCCTAATTTTTTTTTAAGGCTGATTCAAAATTATTTATTTCAAATAGAACTACTCAATCATCAAATTTCCTGGGAGTAGAACCGAGAAGTCTGCATTTTACAAACAGTGTTAGGGCGAATCTATTCAGTTTGAAAACTTGAAGAGAATCACCTAAAATACTTCCAGCACAAGAAATACACTGTTACATATATGTGTTTAAAAATCAAATGATTTTAACAAATTCTTCCAAACAGATGAGCTCCTCACTCCCGAAGAGTAATTGTACAATCTTAGAAAATTTTCTTAAAATGTCTGCTTTTTTATACATAATGGAATTTTCTTTATTTTATTCTTACAACTTATGTGAGGAAAATATTAGATTAGCACCATTGTTAAATTAGGTTACTGCTTAGTCTGGATTTCTATTAACAAAAAGTATTATCTTACTCATAAAATGACTATAAATTTGGATATAACATCAATATCAACCATGATTCAACAACTAGTGTCCTAAAGAGCAATTTTCATAAACATAATGTTGCAACTTTATAGAAATTTATAAAATTTCATAAAGGTAATATTGTGACTTTACCTAAGTTTATAAAATCTTGTGCCAGTGATTTTATTTAATTACTAATCAATCGATTACTGAGAAAACCAATAAGATGTTAAAATTGTATGAGCCTAATTTTTGCTTATAAATTTGATAAATGAAATTCCAGAGTCTGGCTCTAAAAATACAAATCGTCACATCACGCCAAGAAAGGAGCTTAAGGAATATCCTCCTCCTTTTCTACAGCTCTAGAGATGTGTTTTTGGTGCTGTGAATTACATTAAAAAATCCAATTTGATAAAGCATTAAATTGAGTACTTCCAGGGGATGTCAATCTTGTTTTCCTGTGAAATATGGAAGTTTATGTGATTATTCATAACCCTTCATCCTATTCCATATATATATCAGATCTTGGAAGGGCTGTTTGAACAAAAAGGTCTTATAAGATTATGAAGATTCTAGACACAAAAATAGCCTCCAAAGCAACCCTGTAATTTTCATGGGTTCTCTTAGCTGATCATTTTTATTCTAGTAAGAATGATGTAATTGAAAACTTTGTGTAATTAACTATATAAATCTTCTTAAGAGTTTTAAGTAAAATCAGATAAGGATCATAGCATGTTTCTTTTTTCCCCTCTGCTTGACAGAATAATTGAAATCTTATGAGTCTACAAACTTTCTTATTTAGAAAAATGATCAGGGTTGGGTGTGGTGGCTCACACCTGTAATCCCAGCACTTTGGAAGGTCAAGGTGGGCAGATCATGAGGTCAGGAGTTTGAGACCAGCCTGGCCAAGATGGTGAAACCCCATCTCTACTAAAAATACAAAAATTAGCTGGGTGTGGTGGTGCATGCCTCTAATCCCAGCTACTAGGGAGGCTGAGGCAGGAGAATCACTTGAACCCGGGAGGTGGAAGTTGCAGTGAGCGGAGATCACACCACGGCACTCCAGCCTGGGTGACAGAGCAAGACTCTGTCTCAAAAGAAAATGATCAGTAATGACATAGTAGCAAGTGTTGAATTTAAACTCCTGCTGAAACAATAAAGCTGAAAAAATATACGGAAGAATTATTCTTAGGCACTGGATGTCAATCATTGCAGAACTATGATCCTTGAGAGAAAGGAAGCAAAGTAGTTAAACCCCACATTCATCCTGGGTTTTTCCATGAAGATGTTTTTCAGTCTGCTATCCAGGAAAAAGGAGTCCAAGGAAAGACAGGAAGAAACAGAGGAAGGAGTTAGGAGATGCTAAGACTGCAGGAATCTGGAAGGGTGGAGGGGAGAGTAACAGACAGTAGGGAGCCACTTAGAAAATATACAGTCATGTGTTGCTTAATCACAGGGATGAATTCTGAGGAATGAGTCATTAGGCAATTTTTTCATTGTACAAACATCATAGATGGCTTAGCTTACTACACACCTAGACTATATGGTATAGCCTATTGCCCCTAGGCTATGAACCTGTATAGCATGTTACTGTACTGAATACTGTAGGCAGCTGTAACACAATAATTTAAGTATTTGCATATTGAAACGTATCTAAAATAGAAAAGGAACAGTCAAATGCAGTATAAAAGATTTTAAGTGGTACAGCTTAAAATCTTACCGTGAATGGTGCTTACAGAACCAAAAGTTGCTCTGGGTGAATCAGCAAATGAGTAGTGAGTAAATATGAAGGCCTAGGACATTACAGAATACTACTGTAGGCTTTATAAATGCTGTACGCTTAGGCCACACTGGAATTATTATTTTTTAAATTTTTTCTTTCTTCAAAAACTATGTTAGCTTACTGTAACTTTTCACTTTATGCACTTACATTTTCTTAACTTTTTGACTCTTTTTAATAACACTTAGCTTAAACACATTCTATAGCTGTAGAAAAGTATTTTCTCTTCATATTCTTATTCTATAAGCTTTTTTCTAGTTTTAAGATTTTTATTTTTTACTTTTTAAACATTTTTGTTAAAAACTAAGACACAAACACACACATTAGCCTAGGCCTACACAGGGTCAAGATTGTCAATATCACTGTCTTCTGCCTCCGCCTCTCATCCCACTGGAAGTTCTTCAGGGACAGTAGCACATGTGGAGCTGTCATCTCCTATGACAACAATGTCTTCTTCGGGAGCACCTCCTGAAGAACCTGCTTGAGGCTGTTTTACAGCTACCATTTTTTAATACAAGTAGAAGGAGCACGATCTTTAGAAGAGGTAACACCCCAATAGCAAGGAATACACCTGATATGGTTTGGCTCTGTGTCCCCCACCAAATCTCATGTTAAAATGCAATCCCCAGTGTTGGAGGTGGGGCCTGGTGGGAGGTGATTGGATCATGGTTTCTCTTAATGGTTTAGCACCATCCCCCGTGGTACTATCCTCGCCATAATGAGTGAGTTCTCATGATATCTGGTTCCTTAAAAGTGTGCAGCACCTCCTCCCTCCCTCCCTCTCTTACTCTCTCTCTCTCTCTCTCTCTCTCCCTCCCTCCCTCCTGTTTTCACCATCTGAAATGCCTAACTTCCCCTTTGCCTTCTTCAATGATTGGAAGTTTCCTGAGGCCTCCCCAGAAGCAGAAGCTGCTATGCTTCCTGTACAGCCTGCAGACCCGTGAGCCAACTAAACTTCTTTTCTTTATAAATTACTCAGTGTCAGATATTTCTTGATAACAATGCAAGAATGAACTGATACAACAAGTAATACCCAAATTTTGTTTTTTAACTCCTTCAGCGTCCTAGGCTAGACTGATAAAGTGTCCGGTAAAAGGCACCATGGCTCACGGAGGAGGTGATTGATTTCAGGCTGAGTCAGAGAAAATACAAGTTTATCCTGGAACAAATTGTGATGTCAGAAAATGCTCAAAGAGGATAACAACATGCGGAAAGGTCATAAGAGCTAATCTGAAAGAGCTCCTACCAAAGTTTTTTGAGCAAGAAGGTAAATAAAAACAGTATTGAATTATAAACCAAGGAATAAAATAAATATTGTTGGGCCTATACTGATATAAATGCTTAACTGAATAAATGCATGGAGTAGAAGAGATAATCTTCCTTAAAGAATCATTCCAATTAATAAATGTAGAAACAATAAGGGAGATAGAAAAGCACTATTAGAATACCACAATAATTTCTACAAGCATCATTGACTAATGGATGCTAAAATTAGTAAGTGAAAGTGTAAGGAGAAACAGTATTTGCTTCATCTGAAAATACCACCCCCCAAAGAAATATCTACTAATTAAAAAGAATAATCACTTTAAAGTGGAGAAATCTGAAAAGCGCCATCTTAGCAAAATGATCAAGGTTAGCATCACCACTAAGAAGACAGATCATTCCCCTTTATTCTCTGATATGTTACACATTATCTCCATGTAATTCTTTTCAATAACATACAACTTCAACCTAATCATGAGAAGACATCAGAAAAATTCAAATCAAAGGACACTATACATAACCAACCAATGTTTTTCAAAAGTCTCAAGGTCATGAAAGATAAGGAAAAACTGAAGAATTGTCACAGTTTAGGGAAAACTGAAGAGACCTGATAACGAAATGTGATGCAGGATCCTGGATTTGTGCCTGACAGAAAAAGGACATTAGTAAAACTTGTAAAATATGAATAGAGTCTATAGTTAATAATGTATCAGTGTTAATTTATTAGTTTTATTAGTTGTGCTACACAGTTATGGAAGATGTTAACATTAAAGAAAGCCATGTAAAGGGCATACTGTCTTTGCAATGTAATATCACCTCCAAGAGATGAAAACTGGATCTTAAGGGGGGTTTAAAAAAAAATCTTAATCCTTTTAGTTTTATTTTTATTTGTTTATTTGAGATGGAGTCTCACTCTGTCGCCCAGGAGCGATCTTGGCTCACTGCAACCTCCGCCTCCTGGGTTCAGTGGATTCTCCTGCCTCAGCCTCCTGAACAGCTGGGACTGCAGGTGTGTGCCACTATCCCTGGCTAATTTTTTGGATATTTTTTAAAACTCTCAGACCTCTGTGAGGATTCTTACTTTTTTATGTGCAAAGCATACATATGTACAATATGTAAACAGACATACTGAACATCTGTAGTATTAAAATTTCATGGAGAGAGAGAGAAGCAGTTAGGGAAAAATGAACTTCTTAGGGGAATGTTGAGTATACTTTAGGTGTTCCA